TAATGATAATAATCTAGGCTTTTATTTTGAAAGAAATATAAACATTTATAGACTTGATAATGAAGAGAATGCAGATGATTACACTTTGTCTCTTGACTTGCTGAGAACAGTTGAACAAGAAAAATGACAAATCACACCTCATCAAGAAGTCATTGAAACAATTAATTGGCTTGTCGCTATTGCCAACAAAAAGACATGAACTAATTTCTTCAAACATATATGGACATGTTTTCTTGATCATGCCAATATATGCCAAGACTTAGCCCAGATGTTGTGGTACTCAAACTGTTGTTGAAACTAGAATGTAAACTAATCAAGTAGAAATTGAAGTGCATCAAGCTTGAAAAGTAGAAAAAAATTAATGGTGACATAATGCACTTGAGATACGCAAATTGAAAAAAAAATCTTTAAAGATTGCTCTTTAATGAAAGTAACCACACTTGAGATAACAAAAGGCTATCTTTCATATTCCCTTCACAAATATTAAATTATCCACTTGTTATCTCCTTTGAGCTTATTGAATTCTTTTTAAATTGAACCTTAACCAAGGATCACCATCCACAATGGGGGAAAAATGTAAAAAGGATTAATGATAGAGGTTTTACTTCAAGGTAAAAATGCCTTATATTGATTAGGTCTCAACATCATACAAAGAAAAAATAAAAAATGATGAAAAAAAAAGTAAAAAAACAAAAGCAAAAAAGACCCATAAAGCATACCAAGACTAAGGCCTTGAGGAGAATCCTTCACATGACGAGAAATGATCTTTAGTTTGATTACCTTTAAATGTATAATTTGGGCCTATTTACCTTTTCTTTCAGAACCCCTAGCCCAAGCTTACGTTATGTACCTAGAAAAGTCTAAATGGATCAAGTATGGATACTTAAATTAAAGAATAAGCCATGATTTGATTAAAGAAGCTAGGAAAAAAAAATCAATGATGGAATTTGAGGACCTCTGAAAAAACCATAAATATGGATGCATGTTATCATAATAGTTAAGCATTTGCATACCATGATAACATTTTATGTCATATGCATTCAAAAATGATTTTAAAGTCACATATCCTTATTCCAGATGAAGAGTTATGTAGCCTCATTCTAGATAAAGAGTTTATTCTATTCAAACATACGCAGCCTTATTCTAGATGATGAGTTTATTACTTTTAAAGTTATGTAGTTTCATTCCAGATAGGGAACTTATTTCTTTTAAAGTTACGTAGCCTCATTCTAAGTGAGGAATTTATTTTTTCTTTAAAGTTACGTAGCCTCATTTTAGATGATGAGCTTTTTCTTTGGAAAATTATCTTTTCTACCAAAATGGTGTTTATGTCTTTGCACAATTCTTGATTCTCAAAAAATGTGCAAATAGGGGTAACTGCAGACACCTTATTTTGTCTGGAATGTTTATTGAATTTTGAAAATAAAAAATATAAAAATAACAAAAAAAAGAGAGATAAATTTGAAAAACATAAGGATATGTTTGTACCAATCCTAATCCTAGATAAAATGAAATCTGGAGAGAGATTAAGTGAGATAGAATTAAAACTCAATAAACTAATTCAAGAAGGAATAGAACACATAAGCTATAAAATATACCCAAGCACCAGTGATAAACACAGATAAAAAAAGAAGCCAGAAAGTTGAGAAAGAACAATTGGCAGAGGAGAATTTTTTTTTTTGGAGTTTTTGGGTTCTTGGGTTTCAATTTCATTTTAGATCTAAGAGAATCAATTTAATTTCTAAAGAAATTATCATGATTAAAATGGAGAGATAAGGAAAAGAGAAGCATAAAGAGTCTCTTAGTTTCTTGAATAGGGTATAGAGAGCTCTTTATTCATGACATTGCACGCTTGGTAGAGAATTAAAGCTCTTCATTCTTGACATTACATTCTTCGGGTAACATTGACCCAATAGTTTGGTTTTCTCTTTGGGTTTTTTAGCCCAATTAGGTGAGCTTTTATTTTTATTTTTATTTTTTTATGATTTTTATTTTGTATTTTTTGGTCATTTAAAAATTAAGAGTTTACATAAATTTACAAAAATTCTCCAATGATGAAATCTCAAGAATGCCAAAAGAGGTGGCTTCTTGAGAATTTCTAGGTAAGAAAATTTTCAAAATTATACCATAAGAATTTGGATATTTTGGAAAATTTTCAATACCAAAGATTTAGATAAATATTTCAATAAAATAAAAAGACAAAAATATGAAATTAAATAAATAAATTCTCTAATGATGAAATCTCAAAAATACAAAAAAAGGTGGCTTCTTGAGAATTTCTGGGTAAGAAATTTTTTCAAAATTAAGCCATAAGAGTTTGGAGATTTTGAAAAAATTTCAATACCATGAATATTTATTTATTTTTAAAAACTAACAAAAAATAAATAATAAGAAAATAAAAAATAGGTAAAGAAAATTAATTGAATTTTGAACTAGACATTATTTAATAAGGATTAAAGGATACATAATTAATTAGGTATTTATCAAATGGATGTTATGAGGTGCTAATACCTTCCTCTCATGTAAAGCACTTCCGAACCTAATCTACTTCATAGACTAGAATCTATTTTTTTTAATGAACTTAAATTAAGCCTAAGACCTCATTAGGAAAAGTAGATTCATTTAGACGATCAATCACATCTAAAAAAAAAATATTGATAGCTACTCATTTTAAGTCAAATTGTTGAGTTTTAGGACTCACACATCCTGAAAATAGATATTACTTTTATCTGTAATATTTTTATAAATGCATATAGTATACTTGTCGTTGATGGTGATTTAGTTATGTTATAATCGTTGCAGCATCCGCTTTAGTTTACATTTGCTGTTTTTAATTTTTGTTTGCCCTCACTAATTGATCAGATATGTTTGTTACTCTCGCCTCGTTTATTCATTAGCCGTATTTATCTCTAGGTTGCTGTTTTCCCCAACCTTTCAACATCTCCGTATTCTTTTGGGCAGCCATCACGAGAGCTGGGAGCACCCGACTGTTAGAGTGACATTTCTTGATTTATTAACATTTATTGCAATTAGTTTATTTGTTTTGTGTTGTATGTTTTTCCTTTAATCTTTTTGTGATACTATACAAACGTGATGTTCAAGTCTGCTTTTCATGTCTTTATTCCACTCAATTTTCGCTACCAACCCATGTTTTCTACAATTTGTTAAGTTCATTAACAATTTGTGCATTCATTGATGGTCTATTAGCGGCTAAAAAAAACCGTTTTCGTTGTTAAGGGAAGAATTGACCGACAAACAAAAATGCATGAAAAATCAATCTCATACTCACAAGAAGATCTTCTATTCTTAAATCAAAAAGTCTACAATACCACCCATAGCGCATCTGAATTCATTACATTTCGCGAATCACAGGTCAACCTTTTCTTCCTTTAGCAACAAAAAATGATATCTTCCAAGAGAAATTTGGACTGTTTCTTAATAACACAATTATTGTTAAAACGATACAATTGGAAGAGAATGCACTATCAAATTACATAAATATTTTTTTATTATTAAGCTATTGAGCTTGGATATGTTTGATAGTATTTTTTTATTGTTTGGTTCAATTTACAAACTATGTTGGTTTCTTTAAGCAAATTTTGTTCTTTCTCCTATCTACTTTGAGAGTTGAAGGAGGTTGCTCATAATATTGTTGAAGCTAATGGTAATATATTTTGTAAATAGCTAAGGTCTTATTCATTACATATAGAATTCAGGATGATTTTGGTTACTGTTTTATATTGTAGAAATTTAAAAGTACTTTTGTTTATTTCTATTTCATCTTTTGTTTGTTTGATGACATACTTATTGGCTAAGCTTTATTTTTTTTTATCTTTTTAGGTTTTATTGCTTTTGGTGCTTTACTATTCTGTTTTCAGAGTTGTAATTTTATATTTTCTGTTCTTTTGCCCTTACTAAAATGGAAATTAAAAGTTACTATTTCCTGCTTCTATTTTCTTTTAATTCAGGATAATGACAAATAAAGGATGTTGAGAATCTCCCAACCTTCAAAGAAATCTTTTTATTTATATAAATTGATGGATTGAATGCGGTATGAATATTTTTGGGTTGATATTGAAAAGACAAATTGCATATTGTCAACTCTTTATCCAAGCTGCCTATAAATTTTTTGGATAAACTAGCATTGAAAAACAAACACTAACAAAACCATATAACTCCTATAGTAATTTCTTTTAATGTTGATATATATATTTTAGAGCTCTGAATTTGTTTGCAGCCTCCAATAACATTTTGAAATTTTTTGTGAAGTTATCAATCTAATCAACATTAGAATAATACTCTAAGCATGCATGTTAGTAACTAAATTTGTACATTGAATATGCCAGTGTATTGATTTTTTTGGTAATATTGATATCAAGACATCATCCCACTCAATATCTACCTAGCCCTGAATTTAAGTCTGCAATTTTTTATAACACCATGACAACAAGCATGTTTACCCCTCTTCTGAGCATGTCTCATAAATACACTAAACACTAAATTTGTCAATAGATAAAACACTTTTATTTCTATATATACTTATTATCAAATTATATTATTTACATACAAACTATTCTCAACTTAATTGTAAAAATAAAAAAAGGTTGGCATCTCAAGCACACGGCAAAGGCAGCACACTAGTATATATAAATATTCTGGGCCTTGGGCCATTAGAGTTGGACCCTTTTTTCTGTTGTGTTTGTGACATCAGTTTTTTCCCTGGTTTGGATTTTTCTCTACATGAACTCCTGGCTTGTTACTATAAAAAAGAAGTAAATAAAATAAGCCGAAAGCAAAAGAAAAGATAAGTCAACTCAAAGAATATAAGTGGAGTCCACAGCTAGAGTGTCATATAAGATCGGAATCTTACTTCATCCGACCGTTGTCATTTTAGCTTTAAAATCAATATCACTTTCACGTCACAGATTAATTTTAGATGCTTAATTAACAATTTGATAGTAATTTTTATGATATAAATTCACCAGAGATTTTCACATATATTTGCACAATTTAAATATATAAAATTGCATAAATTTCAAAGTGCCCATTATTGTTTAAATTATTATTGCTTTTTTTGTGACATATATCAGTACTTACTAAGTACCATTTAGTTTTGGGAACTTATTCCAAATAAGAAGAGACAAATATGTCATTATTAATTACTGATATTATTTATTTATATATTATCTTCTCCCACGATCGTACTTGTAAAGCTTAGCTGCCATCCAACAATGCTTCAAGCCTCTTAGATTCAACGAAGCAAGCTCCTGGCAATTCTCCCAGATCCACCACTAGGAAAAAATCCACCAGGCCTACTCTCGTTCCCAGTTCCATATATTATCCTCAAAATTTCCAGTGGTGTCCGTGAATACGAAAGCGAATTAACATCCGCTGATAGGATGTTACTGGTAGTTCGATTCTCTGCTCCGAGTTGTAACGGTACTATCAAACCTTCGTCTTTCACCCCGCACATGCCAAGCCGGTTCCTAAGTTCTGAGATACGGTTGGTGAAATTTGCTACGGTCATTCTATATGGCGGGACTGTCTCATTAGCCCTTTCGTAGAGTAATGTTCGTATAACTGCGTCTTGTCCAGCCTCCACCGCCAACAGTGAAGCAGCCAGCTATACCAGCAAATATACCATATAACAAGAATGAGGGCAGAAGAATTTGAAAATTTTTCCACAAATTAGCCTAAAGTTTTGACTCTTCTTTTGACAGAAAACATTTTAATATGGAAGGACTCCTGGATTATATGAATTGCTTGCGATTTTATATAGATTCAACAAAGAAATTAAGATTTTTACCTGTCGATTGCTGCTGCTGACAAGGTTAGGAATAGTGCCAACGTAACCTACGAGTCCCACGTAAGGGATAATGTATGATGCCAACAGAAAGTTGATCGTGTTGGCGTACGGATTGAATGGAGGAGATAAAGTAGTATTCATTGCTCGGTTCATCATAGTGGCAAAAGCCTCCACGCTGAGATTTAGTTGAGGCCGTGGAAATCCTCTTACGTTTGTTATGATCGCCCTGCGAAATAATTTTTTACAACACTTATACAAAAATAATAATTATAGTACATTGATTAATTACTGATTAGTTTTCAATTAATTAGTACTGCCATGCACAAATAGCAAAAAGTAAGATGCATAGTAGGCTTGCAGGGGAACCTGAGATGCCCAATTTCCTGATAACCAAATTCCTCAATAATTCTACGGGTCCTTCCGTCAAGATTGGCCCTCCTTGCACCCACTGGAGGAGGACCTCCTTGAGCCAAAGAAGGTGCCATAGCATCAAGCCCCATACCTAGTGCACCATTCAGAAAAAATTCTGCTTCAATGAACTCCAAGTTCAGGGCGAATTGAATCCGGTCTACATCGTTAGCCACAATCCGTCCGCACTGAGCCACCCCCATAACCGTGATGAATTCCAGTGTAATAAGAAGTAACAGGAAGGCAGAGAAACAAGATCGACCAGTCATTGTGTTTGATTACTTAAAAAGAACCTGCTTATACCAGATACGAGATGGGTTCATGACGGAGTACACTGTCCCTTTTATAGAGAAATGTTCAGTATGTAAGAGAGAAGGGATTCCAAAATGACTGGTGGATGTGTATACAACGTAGATTCTATGTAGGTTCAGGTAATTATAACTTAGGATTGGTCACGTTTTCAAATGGTACAGGTGAATTAATGCTGAATTTCTGTTCCTAGTTTTCGTAATATTCTTACAACCAAGCTGCCCACTGATGCAAATAACTCAGCCAAGTATGCTCTAACAACAAAGCAACCTAATTATTTTAAGCCGTTATTATATAATTGGATCAAAGTTTCATTAGCTGGTCTTTTGAATTATTCAATAATTTAAGCAATCATGTATTTTTTTTTATATTTCTTCTCATATTATTTTTTACTAATTAAAAATTTTGTTTGAATAATAAGAGATCAAAAGAAACATGAAAGATAATAGCAAAAAGCATCTAAGAAAGGTTAGGCCGCCTAAATAGTACGCCGTACTACTTAATAGCAACACTGGAACGCTAGGTCAGCCCCATACGGTATTTAATTCTTTTCAGTACAATATCTGCTTTTGGATAAATAAAAAAAGTTTTTGCTTTTTTTTTTAAAGACATATACTATGAGTCTCTCTTTAGTATTATTTGTAATACCTTCAAAAATATTCTACTTAAGTAGTTATATTAAAAGGAATTAGTAATTACTAAGTTATAGTCTTTATTAAATAAATAAATATAATATAAGTCAAACTTTTTATAGTTGTAGATATGACCTTTGGGTTTATTAATAAAAAGAGAATAGAAAAATGAGTCCTTAAGCAAATATAATAGTTTTGTTAGTGTCAGTTTACATTATCAACGTTTAAAGAAAGCATGTGTAATGTTTAAGAGAGGAAGGTAAGGTCAGTTTATAATATCAAGTTTGAAAAGGAAATTAAGGTTAATTTACATTATCACGTTTAAAATATAAGACGGTCAAAGTTAACATCAGTTTTATCATCAGGTTTAAATGATAGGGAGTCAAAATAACTTAACCTTGGAGAAGAAGGTGGAGAAGGATAGAGAAAAAGGAAAGAATTCAAGGAGGTGCTAATTAAAGTATGATTAGATTTTGTATTTTTCTTAGTTTAGATACAAAAATCTTAAATTATTTTGTATTTTTGCAATTTTCATTCAAATTCAGTACTGTTCTAGTGACTTTTTGGTAGCATGATTGGATACCAATAAAAAGGTCTTGAAAAGATCTTTTTAATGGTTTTTGTAACATCTCATTTGGCTTTGTGGTTAAGGAGATATGAACTTTTGAACTTGGTTAGGAAACTCATTTTTAACAGTTTTGACGATCCAACTTTGAGTAATCGAAACTCTATATTCTGGTAAAGTTTTGAGCCATTTCTTTGAGGTATTTTGTAGTATGAACTGTGGTATTTAGTTTTGTGTCAATAGCTCTATTAAGGGCTTTTTGTGTTAAGAGAATCAAAGGTTCAAAAATGGTTCATTCATACTAATAACTTAAAAATCTAGGTATATCTGTGATGATTTTCAAACTTTTGGCTTTTGTAATTTGTTAATTTTGTAATCTTTTTCATCAAAACAAATTCTAATGTTTTAATATCACATGAATACTTCAAATTGGTTTTGATTTCATCACTGGAGACAATTCAGTTAAGAGTCATAAGGGTCAAAAGTAACCCAAATGGCTACGAAAATATGAAATTTTAGAATTTAGGAAAATTTATTTTTAATTATTTTAAAAATTACTCTTGACCTAAATTTGACCTAGTTTTATAGAAACTAAAGAAATTAAAGGTATTTAATTTTAGTGAATTTGTGTATGAAGAAATATTTATCTGATAAATTATTTTCTGAATTATATTTTGGAAAAATTTATTAGAAATCTTCAAAAACTAAATTTTGAATTATATTTAAAGTATTTTCACCCAACCTCGTATGTTATTGATTTTGTACGATAACCTATGAGTTTGTAAGTTTTGAATGTTTTATGTATTTATAACTTATTAAAGAAAGTCCATTTTTATTTTTAATCAAAATTAGTTTTGATTAAAAAAAGAGGCACTACATCTGAAATGCTTTAGAATGTCCAGTAAAAAGTCATAGTTCATTTTGATAAATTCGTAATGTTGGTTTCTAATTTTGAGTATTTTGAATTAATAGGCTTTAAGAAGATTCTGACTTTATCTTTTAGTTTTGGTTTTAGCAAATCAAGTAAGTGATTAATATCCCTTCAGTATTTTCATACCCTAAAAATTAGCCTTAATGTAAATTTAAATTTCATATATTATGTATAATATATTTTGTCCTATGATTTATTAAAATTGGGTTGAGCATGCAGAATGTATATATATGATTTTCGTATATTAGATTTAGAATATGAATTATGCAAAGCATGATTTCTGATTTTGAAATTCAAATATGATTTTGTTTAATGTATGCATAGATGATTATCTTTGTGAATACTTAGTTTGAAACGATTATGTTTTAGATGCGCACAAGATGTGTTTTGTAAAAGTGGATAACACTCTTTTGAGAATTTAGGTAATGAGAAATATGTTTTATTTTGTCTCCTAACATGGCTATGTTATAATCCTAGCAATGAAGGTTAACTGTTGGCCATGTCGATATATACTTTGTGATTAAAGATTGATTTTCCAATTGTACCATCGATTATAGAATAGTGATATTTGTGGTATTTGTTTAGTGCAGTCAATGCCTACTTTTGATATACTTATGACCCATGCCACTAGGGTTAATTATGGTTTTTGATATGATTATGACTTATGCCGTTGGAGTTAATTGTGGTTTCTATTATGATTATGACCTATGGCACAGGAGTTAAGTGTGGATATAGCATGCTACATGAGACTACCAAAATATAAATATTTGTGAAAATTATGTTTGGTTTTATTATTTGGAAATGAAATTTTGGAACAGTATGATTATAAATGAGATTACTCGAAATTATATTTTGATATCTATATGAATATTAGTAATTTTGGCCTAAATATTTTGAAGTATGATTAATTCAACTGAGGAGATGTTGGTTACTTGCTGAGTGGATGTACTCATTCCTTTAATTCTCCACACTTTTATAGATTTTGACATTTGTACACGTTTGGGAATTAGGCTTGCTTGGCGAGAGTTTTGGTTAGCAAGATTAACATCTACCCTTAGATAATTATAAGCTTTGATGTGAGAATTCAGTTTTTAGTTTGTAAAAAAATGTTAAATGAAAATTTTGTATCTTTCGGAGAATTGTATTTTAATATGACATTTAGAGACTTGATGTTTTGTAAAATGTAAAGTTTGTAAAGACTTTGTAGATATTACATTTGATTAAGTATGATATTATTGCCTTACATGCTTATGGGATTTGTCTCATAAGTATGTAGCATATGTCATGTCTTAAATCCTTAAGTTTGGGGTGTGATATTACCAGAGGTATTTGCTGTTGAATTACCTTATTCTGTAGTATTATGAGTCATTCTTGACAAAATTTTTTTGAATAATATTAGCTTAGTTGGACAGATTAACTTATTTTATTGATAAATGTGATATTTTATTAAATTTTAACATTAAAATATGTTTAAAAATATTATAACAGAATAAAATTTTAAACTCTAATCATTTAAGAATTGTTAAAAATAGGTGAAAACAACCTATGTGCTTGTTTGGCCTGGCTTTTCTTCAACTTATCTATCTCCTAAAAGTAGAAACCAGGCTAAACAAGATTTTAAAAAGTCCTAAAAAAATAAATAGTTTTTTTTAAAGAGCAAAGTTAAAAAAAAAAAGCTACAGAAAAGCTCTAGATAGGAGTTTTTTCTTCTTTTCTTTTAACAATATGTTAACTTTTCAAGCAATACCTTTCTCTCTCAATCGACCTCCCTCTTCTCTCTCTTCCTCTGCAAATCACCCTTCTTTAACGTAAATCAAGATCTTCTTCTTCTCTACCTCTATTTCTAGAAAAACTGCTAGAAAAAAAGAGAAAAAAAAAAAGAAGATCTAGCAATAGAATAGCAAAATCTGAATTTTTTTTCTTCTTACAAAGATTAAGAGAAAAAAAACTCAAAATTCAAAATCGCATTCAGATATTATTCAAAAATTCTCTTTTTTTCACCAAAAAAGATTTTAATGTCAAATACATCGTTTTCTCTTTTCTCTTCTTTCTTGAGAATTAAAGTATCATGGTCCGATTGCTTGCTAAATTAATAAAAATCTATTACTATTACTATTATAGAAAGTTTAAAAGCTGTTTTTGATTCTGTATGGATTTTTTAATTTTAACGTTTGAAATCCTATATAAGCTTAAAGCTGACTTGTTATCGTATATAAGCTCAAAGCATACTTGTTATCGTATATAAGCTCAAAGTAGACTTGTTCCGCTTTGATTTATTAGGTAATTGAAGATGACATGAATACCCTTTATGGTAATTTTAACTAAAATTAGAGTTTATATCATTTATTTTGCCAAACTACTTACCAAACAGTTTTAGCTTAATTTTAGAAACTATTATTTTTCATAAGAACTTCATAATAACTTTTAAGTTAAAAAAAATTAGAATCTGAATGCTGACCCAACTCTATCCATAAACAAATAGGTGTAACTCTCATTTAGGTAGCTACACCAACCTCATATACATGCTATTCGAGTTATTAGAATGCATGAATAGATTGTTAATTCAACTTGAAATGAAGCAATCAAACATTTTTATTTACATGTTTTGTATTCACATGCAACTAAATGAAAACTTTTATTTTAGAATATTAAAATTTTAATCTTTACGGTTGATGTTTAACTAAGAAAATTTAAAAAGTTTAATATGAAATATATATAATTTTAACATATCCTAAAATGAAAATTTCTTATTTAATTTAATTTTTGTGTACAAATTGGATAGTTACTTTGGGAGTATAGATAATTCACAAAACTAGTTAAGAGTGTAGTTAAATTGCTATTTGATCCCATTACAACCAAATTGATTTATTTTT